TCCAAGTGACCAAGTAAGAGAATGGGCCGCGGGCTTATCTCAATGTTTAAGAGAGGGGCTCGCTTCTGAGCGATCAAGTAGGAGAATGGGCCGCAGGCCTATCTCAATGTTTAGGAGAGCCATTGTTTATCAATCCAAGTCCAAGTGAGCCGGGGGTTGATTGTATTGTTGTTTGGCCTTGGAGCGAGGTATGAAGGACCATGGGCCTTGCGAGGCCATGGTGCTGCCTGTTGCAGAGCTCTTCATATCTAGATATATTTGGGCTTGTATATATGCTCCCGCTTAAGCTAAGCATATAGTTTTGGTTGCCTTGGCACATGGTGCCCATAGGGCTCGCCATGATCTCAATGTTTAAGAGAGGGGCTCGCTTCTGAGCGATCAAGTAGGAGAATGGGCCGCAGGCCTATCTCAATGTTTAGGAGAGCCATTGTTTATCAATCCAAGTCCAAGTGAGCCGGGGGTTGATTGTATTGTTGTTTGGCCTTGGAGCGAGGTATGAAGGACCATGGGCCTTGCGAGGCCATGGTGCTGCCTGTTGCAGAGCTCTTCATATCTAGATATATTTGGGCTTGTATATATGCTCCTGCTTAGGCAAAGCATATAGTTTTGGTTGCCTTGGCACATGGTGCCCATAGGGCTCGCCATGTATCAAACATACGACATGTTAGACGTGGTGCCTTATTAGTCTACCACGTAGGTGGGGTTTTGGTGATGTGGCACCTGTAGGGCTTGCCACGTATTGAGCTTGATACAAGTACCCACAACATGGAACCAAAAGATTAAGAAAATAAAATAAGACCCCAAGCACAATCCGCAAGGGAATAGGTAGAAGCCTTAGAACATGAGCATAAAACCAATCGGAATTCAGCTCCATACCTCCTATCCATATGTGTAGCACCATCAAAATAAAAAGGACAACTGTCAAGCACACTCCATGCATTCAACTGGCGCAGATTGCTGCCTGGCTCAAGTTTGCATTCCTCATAACTTTATTTTTCCAAGTTTCAGCATGACCTGTTAAGACCACCCAAACAGATCCAACCAAATGAAATGAGTAATAACCTGCAGCAAAACTCACACATTTTGGCCACTGAATCACTCAACCCATATAGAAAGCAGTACTCTGAAATGATATCAGGTGAGTAACAGAAAAATACTCTGATTCAACAAACTTAGGGCTTCCTTCACTTGACCCACAATGAAAAAATTTCCTGTAATAAGTACCAGCCATAAGTACTGATGTAGGCCGAAACGTACCATATTGAAGCCGCTTAAGTTACATTTATAGTCTTTAAATTTTGTTTATTTGGTAGAAATGATGTGTTTTGTGCACTTGTACAGATTTGGCAGGCAACACGCAAATTCAAGCAAAAAGTGGTGCAAAAGCAGATTCTCCGTGCGAGTAGTGACAATTCCCGGCTTGCCACCTCACCATACGTGCGACTAGACCTCACCACACATGCGGCCCACCACCGCTCGAGCAGAAATCAGGGCTGCTCGAGCAGCCCACCTAGGGTTGCGTGCGCAAAAATTTCATTCTATTCTACTGGGAATAAAAGGAAGAAAAGAGGCTGCTCTTAGGGTTTGAAAAGATTTCAAAGAAAATGAGAGGTTAGGTTTTGAAGAGAGGGGATTCTCAAGCTTCAAGGATCATTTCATGAAGGCTTCTTCTTCTTCTACTTCTTTCCACTCCTCCATGAGTGGCTAGGCTCCTATTTCTAGGGTTTTAATGAAATCCTAGCCAAGTAAATAAGTTTTCTTTTTGGTTTTCTTTTATTTAATGGTTTGAACAATTGTATGGTTCTCAAGAAATTTTCAAATATAATTTTTCATTATTTCTTCAAGTATTCTTCTTTCTGTGATTGTTGAATGCTTCTCATGCAATGATTTTTTGTGCTTTTATGTTCAAGGTATGAGACAAGCCATATTACGAGGGACAAGTCGTGTTGCTACCCTAGTTTAGAGCAAACGACTCGTACTACTTGAGATGGTTCGTGTCTATACATTAAATGTGTTAGTTTTCTTAATTAATACTTTAAACTTGTAGTTACGAAGTATTATTTGGTTCGAACCGTAAGATAATTGATTTTCAAATTAAAACCGTGTTTATGTAACCAGTGGTGAATTCGTTACTCTTGGTTTTTTCCTAAATCAGTAATTTCATCTTTATTTATACTTAGAAAATATGAAGAAGAAGAACTCCGAAAATATGAGGAAGAAGGAATATATTTCTGTTATATTCAAAACTTCTTATCTTACAAGACCAAATGACACTCCTTATATAGGAGATATTACAAACATCATCATAACCCATTATATGCCACTTACATATTATATATTACCACTATCTACCACTATCTTATTATATACATGCCACTATCTACCACCAACACCACTATCATATTCTATACATGAACACAATTTCCAGCATTTATAATTGCTAGTTTATTCGCTTTGTTTAATTTAATTATCATTAGGTTATGAACAACCATCTATCTCATCAAAATTAATTTAGGAATTTAATAATTAAATTAGTTTAATTTCCCGTTTGTACCTACGGATCGATACTTGAACTTACCACTATTCTAAAAAATTTGGTATAGTTTAGTATTTATTTTTGGTGTGTGAAACAACCCATCAAATACTTGCAGTAAATAGTTAGAAAGGTTTTGAAACTAATTCACTCAACCCACAGCTTACAACACTCACTCAATATATAAGGGCACACTATCTCTCAACCCACCATCCCTATAAAGGAGCCAGATTGGCAACTTGCCCAACAACTTGTTAGTTATAAACATTTAAAACAGTAAACCACACTATATGGCTCACATCACTTGACCCTCCTATATGTTCTCACCAGCACTCAACCCTCAAAAGCAACACTCAACCCTCATTTGGTTTCTCCCCAACACTCAACCCTCAAAAAGTTACCCTCCACTCAAATTTATAATGGTAGCTGGAAGCCTCAATTCTTGCTGAAACCAAGCATCAGTTGGTGAATTCTTAATGTTCTTCAAAGCCAAACATCTGTACCTGATCAAGCTAATAATGATCTTTATGACAACCTCTTCAAGTTTCCTTTCTTTATTAAACACCCTGTTATTTCTCTCCAACCAAATATGATAAACAGTGCAGCAGAAACCAAGCTTTTTAAGAATGGTAGCTAGAGATTTACCCTTGCAATCTCTTGCCACCACATCCACCCAATCAGTCCAGCTATTACAAGTCCAGTTCACATTGCATTTTCTGAGGATGGCATCCCAAACTCTAGAAGAAAAGGACAGTGGAAGAACAAATGATCATGATCTTCCCCATTATAACCACGCAGAGGACATAATCAAATCAATCTTGTAATTACATCAATCAATCAATATCAATAATACATATATTTTTACAGATCTTTATGACAACCTCTTCAAGTTTCCTTTCTTTATTAAACACCCTGTTATTTCTCTCCAACCAAATATGATAAACAGTGCAGCAAAAACCAAGCTTTTTAAGAATGGTAGCTAGAGATTTACCCTTGCAATCTCTTGCCACCACATCCACCCAATCAGTCCAGCTATTACAAGTCCAGTTCACATTGCATTTTCTGAGGATGGCATCCCAAACTCTAGAAGAAAAGGACAGTGGAAGAACAAATGATCATGATCTTCCCCATTATAACCACGCAGAGGACATATGGGGGCAGGGTTGATACCAAATATGGCAAGTCTATCACCAATATAGAGTCTACCAAGGATAGCCATCCACACAATAAAGCTGGCTCTAGGTATAGAATGTGGGCCCCAGAGCAACCCAGCCCATTGGTTCTTAGGCTACTTAGTTCTCCATTGCTGCCAAGCAGACCCAATACTAAATTTACCATCACAAGTAGGAACCCAAATGCTTTGTCCACCCTAAACAAAGAAGGAGTCAAATCAAGAGGAGTGTTAGAAATGAGCTCTTGCACCTCTCAAGAGGACTCATTAGGCCACCTCCACCTAGTATCAAAAACAATGGACCTCAGCCAATAGCAATGTCAAAAATGAGCCTATCCCCATACTTATCCCCAAGAGGACTTAATGGATGCCAATTGTCATACCAGAGGAAAGTTTGCTCACCAGAGCCTATCAAACATTTGATCAAAGGGTATGTAAGGACTCTAAGAGACAGCAATTTCCTCCAAACCCAATTGTCATACCAGCAGTATTGTGATTCAACTTGTATTGCACGATTAATTAATTTTTACATTCTTTTTCACCTTTGGCCCCATTAGCTACTTTTCTCACTATTAATCACCATAGCTAACACTCATTGAATAGTCGTGAACTATATTATCAAAATATCCCACACAAAGGAGAGCCAAATTCAAAAGAAGTCACAAGAAAAAATGACTGCCATATTTCTTTTGCTACAAGAAATTAAATTACTATCATGAATCTAATTTGATTGAATTTGTATATACCTTATTCACCAATTTGGTCATTAGTTATATGATTTAGTAGTTTATTTTTTGTAGTATTTTTTTTATCTATATTTATATATGTTAACGTATATTATGATACACGATATGATACGATACATGATACACAAAGTGATACAATGATACACGATACGCATCATGATTCGACAACACTGGCGGAAACACACGAAGCACACAGAAATTTATGAGATAGTAACCTACTATACCAGGGCCAAGTAATACCACAACCAGAATTGATACTTAAAATCATGTGGCATAAAAAAAAAATTAAAAATAAAATAAAATAAGACATAAGCCCCATACCAATTATACTAAGGCTCAGTGTCCTACATACAAGGTCAACACTTAAAATCATGTGACATCTCCAAACTCCTCACCCATATCTAAATAGGTTTTCATGACCAAAAACCAAACATTATGGTCTACTTGTTCCTCCTAATAGAATGGATCACAGTTCCAACGCAATACAAGCTTGTTCATAATGCTGTAGATTCAAAACTATCTATGTAATAATTCAATGTTCAAAGCCACATAAAAACAATTGAAGCCCAATCACATTCCATAGATTAATGCTTTTGAAGCACAAGCATATTTTCTTTGTCATATTTGTTTAACCATCAACTAATTTTCCACCAAACAGTACCGTTCACCAGGATTCTGTATGTAGGGTCAACAAAATCAAAAATTGAAAAGAAAAAAATCATATGCAGTAAAATTTACTTGTCAATCAAGGTAACATAACAAAACATCAAACATACATTGATTGTGGTCACTGAGAGAACATCAGCAAATATCTAAGTAGCTTCAGCAATAGGACCCCTGACCTTTTTTGGAAGAAACACATCAGACCCCTTTCTTACAGTCCACTTCATGCTGTCAACCTTGATACAAGCACATGCATATGCCATAATCCAGATTAAAGGCTTGTTGTTTAAACTTAAAGCATACATCAAGATCCAAAATGATTTCCACATGACTTTATAAAATTTATAAATAAAAAATAAAAACTATTCTCATCCAAATCCATCGAAAAAGATAAGCATGAAAATAAATAAATAAATAAAAATAAAAAGAGGTGAAACAACAAAGAAAGCCATTAATTAAAAAATATTTCTTTTCGTGGGAGGGGGTATCTGCATCTGTCCACAATCCTGGGTTCTACAACTATCTCGATGGAAGCTATAGGTACATTTAAGTGTTCAGATAGAATTGAGATAATTAGAACTTAAAAATATGCATGATTCAATTAATGTGTGGATGGTAAGGAAAGAAATGAGTAAAAGCATATCTATTACAGCAAGCATAAAGATTCTAAGACCTAATAAAGTGATAGCCATCCAACCACGTCATTCATAATGAACACATACAATACAAGAAGAGGAACCAGATCTAGCTTTCCAATAATTACAACCAAGGAAATTATTATTTGCTCCATTTCCTTTATGCCTTCTGAAGTTAAATGGCAATAATCAAATCACAGGTTCCCTTAGTCCTCTGAAAGAAATATTGCATTATCACCATCATAACTTTAGGTGAGGAAGAACGGAAATTTCATTCTAGGTCTCCTTCATTTTGTTGCTTGGGTCCATCGAAGAAATGAAATGTGATTCCAAGTTACCACCTTTCCAAGTAAAAATGAGATTACCACACTAAGTGGAAATCTCATTCCCCCACCCCAATGGAAAGTTCACATTCAAAGAGCATTCAAGAGTAAAAAAGAAACATGAGCCCACCAGATTTAAATTGTACCATTTTCCTGTATAAGGAATTCTAGACTAATCCAAACACTTGTATAGCAATGGGTTTCCAGGTAAATGAGATTCTCGTTTCTTCTCTTTGATTTTTTCCATACAAAAGATAGACATAAGGTATTTCTAGTTGAATATGAACCAGGTTAAATGACTGAGATATGGGCCTCATCGAGTTTCAATTGGATCAAAGCATAAATGGTAGCCTTGCTGATAATTAATAAACAAAGAAAAAGCCTTAAGGTGTTTCTTGTGCAAGATGTGATTTAAGAAGTTCCTCAATCTATTAAGAAGTCCAATTATTAAGCTCGTCTACAAGCAAGTATGAACTTTACATTCAAATCGATTAATTTACCTCTTTCCTTTTAACACATACAGGGAGATAGAGGTGGTAAGTTTTGGTAGGTGGCACTAGCTAGTGTTACAAACAACATGATATGATTATTGCGTCAAAAAATGTCAAACATTGCAGTTGAGGATAAGTATCCTACATCTTATGGGATATTCTTTGTTTTGGTCAAGACTGAAAATTACTAAGAAGAGAAAGATTTGTTACCTAAGTTTAATCCTGTACTAAACAGTCCAATCTCAGTGACCATAATTTCAACCCAAACTTCAAAAATTCATCAAATGACAGATGCGCAGTTGGGATGCAATATGGGCCTTCAACTCTTGATGTTGAGCTCGAGTACAACTCCGACCAGATCCCACAGCATAAGTTTCAAACCCAGTAGTCACCACACCAGCATGCCACTAACCAAACCCGCCTCATGAAAAGGACTTAGAAAACAACCCTTCCTTCCTTTTTCGATACAAATTTTTCTTCTTGCTGACTTTTAAAAAATTACTCTTTCCATTATTCAATCTTCATCACACTGAAATTATTCACTCCATTCTTGAAAGCCCAATTGCTAAAGATCTTTGCTTTCAAAATCAATAAAATCACCTCCAGAACGCTCTAATCAAACAATATCATCACATAAATCACAACATTTCCTTCCAATACCCATATAAACACAAAACCATTATTCATTTACAATTAAACAGAGTACAAGCCAAGAAATTACAATTTCACGAATGTGGTGGAGAACCAGTTTCCGATTTTCCACTGCGAAGTTTTTCGATCAAATCCCCGAGCTCCTTGCGGGCAGATTCTCTGCCAAACATAAAACCGTACCTGAGAACATCAATTGCATAGAAAATCAAAAATCAACACACCACCATTGAATTGAAGAGAAGAAAGAGGGGGGAAAGGGATTACCAGAAGGAAACAGCAGAGAAGACTCCTGCTGTGGCAATTGTTTGAATGAGAGTGAAGCTTTTCTCCATCGCATCAATGGTGTTCTCTGCAAACACTTTTACCACTGAGCTCGGAGGAGAGAGTAGAGATTTTGGATTGAATGAGTCTGGTGAGCTCTCTCTCTCTCTCGGGTTCTAATTAGGGTTTAAGCTGGTGAACAATGGTCTGAAAATTAAACAAAAACAAAAACAAAAACAAAAACAAAAGCAAAAGCAAAAACAAATACGGGTCGACCCGCTCCATCAATCCATTTCAACCCGTTTTGTTTGAGAAGACGAGTGGATTGAGTTTTTTTTTTTTTTATCTGGACGAGTGGATTGAGTTTGGTTAAAAGAAAATTGCAAATCAGTTTTTCAAAAATAATTTTAAATTAGTGTTAAACTTTATCAATTTTAATAATTAAAATATTAATTTTTTTTATAAATTTATAAACATTTTATGATGGTATTACTGATTTGTAATTTTTCCTTGGTTAAAATTTGCTAGCTCGCTTATGGAAAATTTTATTTCCACACACAAAGTTCTCTCACATTACACACTTGATGGAAAAAAAAAAATCAATTACATTTTTATCCTAAAATAAAAATACCAATATATCCTTACATCTTACACATCCAAAACCCTAATTTCCAAGCCACCCAAAAATTAAATTTGTCAATAGTTTGGTTGGGTTAGTCATCTCCTCTCTTTCACTTCAGGTGAGTTTGTTTGCAAGGGATGAATCATCTATGTATCCTTACTCTCTCCTCCTACTCCTACTTCTACTAATCTGACGGTTTTTTAGCTCCACCTCTAACTCAAGCTCAAGTTCTTCTTAATATTGTTTTATAGACATTTCATGTGAATTTTTTTTAATTAAAATTAAATTTAAAAAGAGATCAATGTAATGTATTCAAACTTAGAGAGTGGGATTGCACTACGTTTTAAAATAGCAAGAATATGCGTGGGGTTGTGATTCCAATGTGAGCCATAGAAAAATATTAGAGAGAGAGAGAGAGAGATGCATATGGGAGGTGTGGGAATCGATTTGAGAAATGGGACAAAAATTGTAAGTACAACCACCGGCCTCCTACCTTGATCGCTTCAGTAGGGGTATGAATTTAAAATTAGGCGACAGTGATTAGTTAGGGTTAAAAATTAGGGTTAGTGATGAAACGATGAAGAAGAGTATTTCTAGTATAAAGGGTTGTGTACTGAGTAAAATATTTTTTTTTAAATTCATTAAGTGTGTGAACTAAGATATAATATACACAGAGATAAAAATATATGTGAAAATAGAATTTCCCCTTGCTTACAAATCAATTATTTTGGATAAATTAGATTCTATGTCCTTTATGTTTTATCATTTCTTCTACTTTGGCTTTTTAAAAAAATTCTCAATTTGGCCTTTTTATCTTTTAATATTTTTCTCTATTGCACAAGTTTTTTCTCACTTAAACTCAAACATAATAAAATATATATATATATATATATATTTATGCCACGTGACAATCAACATGATATTTTTTCTCACTTTGAACTTCATTTTTTTTAAGAAAAATCACCATCCAATTGCATTTTTATAAAATTATTGCATATTGATGAAAAAATTTAAGAATTTAATTATTAGTATTTATAAAATTTATCATTGATTTGTAATTATTCTTTTAAATGGTGAATTACACTAACAATCCCTATAATTTAGGACTTGTGTCACTTTGATCTCTGACTTTTTAATTGTAACATATTTGATCATGAATTTTGAATCTTGTTCCAAATAAGAACAATTAAAGATACTATTGATCAATTTCAAGGGTAATGTTGTCAATTTGATAAAATATAAAATAATTTGACAAAAATAAATGTCAAAAATATATTTTTGAATTTTTAAAAATTATTTCTACTCACCAAAGATAAAATTATATAAAATTGATAAATCTTTTACACATTTATTTATTTATTTATTTTACAAAATTAATTTTTATTATGTGTTTGAATGATGATCATGTAATGGTTGGTTGTTTTTATTTTCATTAAATTAATTTTTATTTTTTCAAAAGTCAAATATGGTGACAACTTTGATATCATTATTAAACCAATCCATTAAATTAAAAATTCAAAACTAAAAACATTTCATATATTAAATATATCAATTATATATTAAAATCTTAACAACCACACATTACATGATCATCATCCAAATACATAATAATAATTAATTTGGTAAAAAAAATATGTAAAAGATTTATCAATTTTACATAATTTTATCTTTGGTAGATAGAATTAATTTTTAAATATTCAAAAAAAAAATTGACATTTATTTTTGTCAAATTATTTTACATTTTATCAAATTGACGATTTTGCTCTTGAAATTGAGCAATGGTATCTTTAATTGTATTTATTTGAAATAAGATTCAAAATTTAAGGTCAAATGTGTTACAATTAAAAAGTCAGGGACTCAAGTGACACAAGTCCCAAACTATAGGGACCATTAGTGTAATTTGTCCTTTTTTGAATATACACTGCATTTGTTAGGTTTTTGTAATTGACAATCTCGTTTGACAAAACTCATTTTTAGTTGTAATTGTATTCGCTCTTGTTTCAATGAGACTATGAGTGTTTAGATATAAATCCAACTCAAATTGTGCTTATATAGAAGAGTTTGTGATCTTAATCCTTTTATGTTTGCCACTTCGCTGACTAAATATGGGAATACTTGAAGCAAAAAGCAAAAATGCAATCAAAATTATTTGACCGCTCGAGTGGTCATTTGTGTGCTCGAGCGAAGAAACAAATCATCCAGTATTTTTGCAAAGCGCTTGAACTTCTGGGAATAAAGTTTTACTGCTCGGGCAGTGAAAGTTGCGCTCGAGCAGTCAACTTATATGTTTTGCACCGCCTTTAGTCACATCGCTCGAGCGGTGAAATATGCGCTCGAGTGGTCTGCATGATCCTATTTTCTATAAAGTGCCTTGTTTGTTGTTTTTAGGGTTTGAGCTGCCCAAATTTTCAAAGAGGAAGAAAAAAATAAAGTGTTTTATATTGGAGGCTATTTTATATGAGTTTCCTTGGTGTATAGAAAGTAATCGATTGATCAACAGACTTCAGATTGTCGAACATCAAGAGTTATTATTGTTTTATTCACAAGAAAGAGAGAGTTATTTTTCAGTAGATTCCAGAAAACTTGAGCCTGAAGCTTTGGTGGATTATGTAGTGGCTCATTGTCGTGGATTCGACATTAGCATTATGGATTCAACGTTGGACAAGACAATTCGGAGGCGAAGAAGGTGTTAGTAGAGACACATTAGGGTCGGTTCAATTCAGGCGTGGATTTGTTAAAACCTACCACTACCACTTCACATCTCCATCTCCTATATAATGTACATACAATACATCACAACATACAACAATCAATAATACAATCATTTCTCTTTATACATTAAATTTCTACATGGTATCAGAGCAAGGTTAAAGATCTTGATGTTCTCGGTGTTCTCCGCCTTCCGGCGGGCGGCAACCTTGCCTTGACCGCCCGCCGGATCTCAACCATTTGAGACCTCCATCAACTCGCAAGACCTCTCTCACACCAATTTGATGTTAGCTTCAACCACCTCCAGGGTTCACTGCCTTCTACCGTCGAACGCATGAGGAGCTTGAAGCAGCTGGATGTACTGGCCTCATCCCTGCAACTGTATGCCAGCTTTCAAGGCTTCACAACAACTCCGAACAACCAATGCCAAGCCCAAGATGGTTGATGTATCTATTTCACCAATGTAATACTTTTCCATCTTTATTTCACCAAACTCAAGTTGGTTCGTTCCTGTCCCCCTTGAGTTTGCGGGGGGCTGTTAAAACCTACCACTACCACTTCACATCTCCATCTCCTATATAATGTACATACAATACATCACAACATACAACAATCAATAATACAATCATTTCTCTTTATACATTAAATTTCTACATGGTATCAGAGCAAGGTTAAAGATCTTGGTGTTCTCGGTGTTCTCCGCCTTCCGGCGGGCGGCAACCTTGCCTTGACCGCCCGCCGGATCTCAACCATTTGAGACCTCCATCAACTCGCAAGACCTCTCTCACACCAATTTGATGTTAGCTTCAACCACCTCCAGGGTTCACTGCCTTCTACCGTCGGACGCATGAGGAGCTTGAAGCAGCTGGATGTACTGGCCTCATCCCTGCAACTGTATGCCAGCTTTCAAGGCTTCACAACAACTCCGAACAACCAATGCCAAGCCCAAGATGGTTGATGTATCTATTTCACCAATGTAATACTTTTCCATCTTTATCTTGGACGAGTTTGTAAAGATTTTCTTGATCTTCTTCGTGAAAAGCAACCCTGTTCCAAGAATTTTGACCATTTTCAGTTGGGAGGGATTTCTTTCTCCTGGATTCGGCTCCAAGATAACCTCCTGACACAAACCCAGATTTATAGCCCCACCAGTTTGGTAAAACATCTTTACTTTCATTTCCTTCAACATCAAAAACGTGATTTGCAGATTCTTCCACCAACTCCAATACACTGTCCTGATTATAGTTTGTCTGTGGGCATTCCTCGACTTTTTTGACAAGTATTCCTTCAAGATCCTTAGAAGAATATGTCTGCACAAATTTCTCTCTCTCTCTCTCACACTCACACGCCTTTTTGAAAAATCTTATCACCACCACTGAGCTGAGACTTGGCTGTGTGAAAATCTCCACCGCCATTCCCTAACCCACATGGGCTTGTTCCCATCTTTTCATACAACCCATCTTTCCCAAATTGTTTAATCAATCAGTCTGATCCCACTATCCCCACTTTCTTTATTTTATTTTATCTTCATTTTTCACATTAAAAAAAAAAAAAAAAAAAACAAAAACAAAAAAAAAAACAAAACAAAACAGTTGATTTTTCTGCATTACCACACCTACCATTCGAGTTTGCAAAACACACTTGCTTTATTCATATCAGGGATCAACCCCGATCACAATTTTACAACACAAAAAAAAAAAACAAAAACAAACAAAAAACAAACGATTTGTTTTCTTTTTTGCAGAGCGGCCACCCACGACCTCACTTCCTCTACTCTTGCCGCCGGTCTCTTCTTCTTGCCTCCGTCCTGGGCGCCCTTGCCGGTGCTGCCTCCGTGTTTCCCACTCCACTGGGCACGATCACTACTCCCTGCTCTCCACTGCAGCATATGGCGGACCTCCAAATCGGAACATCACGGTGGCCTTCTGCTTCAGCTCTTGTTTTCCGCCTTTAGCACACTTATCTCTGCTCGCGCATCCTTATACATGCCTGGAGCAGAGCCAGTTGGGCGTTTAACTGCTGCACCTTATTTGTCCTACTTTGAAGCCGGTGCGACAAGTTTGTGACCGCAGTCATGGTTTCAAAACATGACTTCAAAGTATACTGATTGGCCTCAATATCAGTTTGCACCGCCATTTTTTGCTCCACAGACAGCATTGGAAAGTTTAACGGAGCAAAACCAGAGGTGTTGGTTGAGGTTCACTGGCCACTGCACCAGTTATTTCTCTTGTGGACTCGTTCAGGTCTGGAAAGAGCGTGAGCAGACCACGGAGAGGAGGCCATGTTCTGGGTAGCTGGACGGAAGAAGAGGCCATGTTTTTGGGTTGCTGAGTGTTTCAGCGAAGCAGCAATTTCCGACTGGTACTGTCAGAAAAGGGTTGGTTACAGAGTGTTACAGAGTATCTCTCTCAAGACAACGAAGAGTTTCTCAGAGGTTTTAGCCAGTTTTTTGTCTTAGCCTCTGCCTCAGCCTCAGCAATCCGTCTTGGTTAAATAGCCAAGGCAGACACGCGCATCGCGCGCCACTTGACGCCAACGACAAAACGGGCGCGCAAGCCAATGTGGTGACGCGCCTCGCCTCATGTCCGGCACATCTTTTATGACTTGGCTCGCCTTTTGATGGCACGCCTTTTTAGGATTGGGCACGCCTTTTGATGGCACGCCTTTTGAAAGATTGGGCACACCTTTTGAGGGTGCGACTTTTTAAAGGGTCGACAAGACTCTGTAAACTGTCCCGACATTGATTCCGGTTAGCTCCTTCATGGGTCCGACAAGACTCCGTAAACGTCCCGACATTGATTCCGGTCAACTTCTACATCGGTCCGACATGACCTCGTAAACTGTCCCGACATTGATTCCGTCAGCTTCTATACACGCGTGCCGACCATGAGCCCGTAAACTGTCCCGACATTGATTCCGGTTAGTTTCTACAAGGGTCCAGCAAGACTCCGTAAACTGTCACAACAACTGTCACAACATTGTTTGCTACAACGGTCCGACATGACCCCATAAACTGTCTGCTACATCGGTCTGACACGACCATACCGTGTCTCCTATCCTGTTTTATTTTATTTATCAGTTTACTTTCCTGTTTTGTTACTCTCTTCAAACTCAAGTTGGTTAGTTCCTATCCTCCTTGAGTTTGAGGGGGGCTGTTAATATACACCTAAACCTACTCCACTAAACCTAACCCACTACACCACTCCACCTCCACTTCACCTACTCCACTACACACTCCACTTCACCTACACCACCACTCCACCTCCACTTCACATCTCCATCTCCTATATAATGTACATACAATACATCACAACATACAACAATCAATAATACAATCATTTCTCTTTATACATTAAATTTCTACAGGATTCGTTAGGTAATTGAAAGTACACTTGTGTAATTCTTTTTTGTCTTCTTAGTAGATTGTTTTATGGTTTTGGTCCGTAGTTTTTTATCACAATTGGAGCCACTCCAATTATGATTTTTTCACATTAAATCGTTGTGTCGATCTATTTTTAATTATTTGATTAAGATTGTCATTCGTTATTTAAAATTAAAATATAATCACAAGTCAATATCTTGGGTTTTTAAAAAATTTCAACAATGAAATTTTCCTATTTTTATGCCTCATTTTACTTAATTATTGTGCGACCAATCACGCGGGGCGGGGGATTTAATAAAAATGCTTTAGGCATGTGGGCATGCGAATTTAAATAAATTGCAATATTATTTATGTGGGTATGAAAAAGTGATAACTTATTTTCAACCAGACTTATCGTTAATGTTTCTATTAGGATGTGGACCACATGGGTTTTTTTTTTTTTTTTTTGGTGCTAAATTTTTTTTTTTTTTTTTTTTGGGTGAATATGGACCATATGGTTATTGCCAAAGCAATGGTGATTTGTAGAATTGCTTTGCTGAAAATATTCTTGCTCGGTCAAAAAATGTGGCCATGTTAAGTCCAGAGTTACCTTTCAATTTTTGAATGACTCAAATGGAATCTAAGGACATAGTGCATTCACTGATGATTAACAAAGTCTTCTTTTTTAATTCTCTCTCAAAAGAATATGAAGGTGCATAATCACTCACAAAATAATTCATTTGTTAAGACAAGAAAGTTGAATTTCATATTTGACCCATTAATTAGGCCAACTCAAAGAGAAGAATATTAGGATTAAAAGCACTAAGCCTTAGCATCACCACAAATCAACCACATGTTGATTAAAAAAACACTTTGAAGGGTTTTTTTTATTTTGTTTTTGTAAGGGAATAAGGAATGAGAAATATCGTAACGTAACAGTAAGACTGAAACTTAGATATCATGCTCGGTAAGAGAGTGTCTCATCTATTATGCCAACTCTTTTATTTTTTAAACACGTTTAGGATTCAATTGCAAAAAATTCACACAATTTATACAAGGATACTTGCACAATATATATATATATATATATAATAAATACATAAAACTATTGACTATTTGATTGGGTTAGGAAACTTGTGGGGTATAAAATGAATAGGCATTTGTAACTCAAAAAATATGAACATGTATGAGTAATTTTATTTTTTATATATTTATTTTTCTTGATAAATATAAATTCTAAACATAACATTAACAAAATAGTAGTGAAAGAGTGAATTTACAATCCTGGATACATAAGCCCGAAAAGATTCAAGTGGTTCGGCTTTTAAGTCTATCTCCACGGCGAAAACGACTGAACAATTCCACTATAAATTTAGAGATTACTATGAAGCATCTCTCTCTCTCAACAACCCTCTTATAGAAACTCACAAGATCACAAGATCATCATAACTTTAGGATTCTAAATAAACCCTTATACAAGGAACCGAAGGTAACAAACCAAGTCAAAATATACCCAAATATAAATATCAAGTAGGATCTATCATGCCATGCAAGTTGCTAACGGGTGATAAGCATAATCTGAGTCAAATTCGAGACACTCACAACAATGTCAAATATCCATATCTTAAAACATATCCTAGCATTATCATAGCTCGCAAGAAGCCATTTGGTTAGATACCCTACTTCTCAATATTTCATATTCCAACTCAAAAAATTGCGACATTGGATGCATTTGCCTCACAATGTCGTTACAAATAAAGTACACCCTCCTCACGGTAAATTAGGGCTATGTTTGGATCTTAAATTTATAATGAGAAAAGAAAATTTTATGTATTAATGTCAAATTGCAAGCTGCCTTATGTCAATACATTCCATGTTGACAATATAATTGCAACACTGAATAGTGGTAATCTTTATTTCCAATGCTCAATGAAAAGATGTAAACAATATGATGTCTAAATTAGCAACTGAAGGAGACTATTATCCAACCAATAAAGCAAGAAGAAAAATCACTTCACAAGAACAACGTTTTATTTTTGAAATTTACAATCAATGTGTACAAAGTTCCCTCTAAAGGCATACCGTTCTATGCATCAGATTTGGTTTGTTACCTTTTTATGCTTCCCTGTTCCATATATAAATATAAATCTCTCAACAAAAATCAAAAAACAAAAACTCAAACCTCATTAGTCAAAAGGTAGTCTCTCTTCTCTTCACGGCTGTATATGTATTCAATGTTCAAGCATTTATACCTGTCAAAAATAAAAAATAAAAAAAATCAACTATAAAAAGTCTATTGTTCTTTCTCCTCTTTAAGATCAAAAAATTCTTCATTTACTAACCCTAGCTGAATTATCTCTTGGCTGAGGTAAGTGCGAAATTTTTCTTGTAGTATCGCTAACTCCCATTTGATGTGAGTGCTTCCTTGAGGTAACAACCGGGTTAGATGCAGATGACTCCGAAGAATTTCCCTCTTCTGAATCTGCTATTGCTTCCTTCAAGCTCTCCACCACCTGACTCATTGATGGTCGATCTTTTGGATTCTTGTCTAGGCAACTATCTGCCAACTTGGCAATCTTCCGAGCTGCACTGAAAGAATATTGATTTCTTAGCTTTGGATCAATAATCATGCTAAACCTCTTGCTGTCAGATGGGTACTGTTTCACCCATTCTAGAAGCTTCTGCTCCGCCAATGGCCGGTTTCTTTCCAATGTCCGTCTGCCAGTTAGAATCTCATAAAGCACTACACCAAAATTATATATATCACTCTTGATTGTAAGACGGCCGGTCTCAACATATTCTGGGGCAGCATATCCATAAGTCCCAACCACCTGACATAAAAAATTTGGAAAATTAGCTACAAAAAAGTTCTCAAGAGTACCGCAATAATAATGCACGTAGCCAAGTGACATCAAGCAAGCATATGCTTCTCCATGGTAGAAAGAAAGAGGATTCGAGAGACCCTTGCTTGATTCCTCAAAAGATTATCTACTTCACAAGCATAATAGTTTGTTCATAATGTGTTAGTCATTGTTGGGGATGTCTCATATAAATTTCTTTTTTTTATGACTGGGTGTCTGGGCCAGCTTACACGCACCTTAACTAATCCTGGGATGTCTCATATTCTACCTAGTTTGTGCAGATAACTCATTTGTGACCTGCTCGGCCCGACTAATGGGCAAATGCTAGATCCAACATGGTTATTGTTGTATGCAGATCTTAGAATATATGTAGGTTATTTCATGGATTATGGTAAATATTGATACAGACAGCTTTGAAGAGAGACAGCCGTTCCTTTTGTATTTTCTCCTTCTTTTGATAGTGAAACCCTCTGTCGTTCTTCACCTATGGACGTAGGCTTATAGCCGAACCACGTATATCTTTGTGTTATTGTGTGATTCCTTGTTTTATTTTCTCATTTTTTGTTCGTTCTGTCATAACAGTCATAGAGTTCACCAGTTATGCAGTTTAACCATGCCATTATATGGTCTTTTTTCATACAGTACACACCTACCGCTGTGGATACATGAGTACGGTCACCAATTGGGCCTTCCCTAGCAAGCCCGAAGTCCGAAAGCTTTGGCTTGAAGTCTTCATCCAAGAGCACATTCGAAGCTTTGAAGTCTCGATATATCACCTTCAAGATTAACACAAGAAGAAATAGTTCAACAATTTCTACATTAGCCCAAACAAATGAAAATTATAAAAGTTTATGCTAACTAGGACATAGTACGTGTATATCTGTTGTACTTGTGAATATGTATTTTTTATATTTCTGTTATTCTCTATCTCTCTTAAGGGTAGTTTAGTCTTTCTCTTATAATTAGGATATTAGGGCTTTGTTAGTTTAGGCCTCGTTTGGGAACTATCCCATTTAGCTAAAAAGTCAAAAAGTTATTCAAAAAGCCAAAAAGCCAACAACCCATACCAAAAAGTCAAAGATTCTCTTTTCTCTCTACTTTTTGCACACCTTTTTGTAAAAAGTCAAAAAGTCGTCCCAAACATACTAATTTTTTTTAGCTCATATTTTAGCCAAATAGTCAAAAAGTTCCTAAATTAGCCTGTTCCCAAACGAGGCCTTAGTATATATATTGTATTCAACCCTTCTGATTATTTATTCAATAAAGAGATTATTATGTTTGTTATCATGGTATCAGAGCTAGGTCACATCAGCAGACTTAGCACGTTGATGTTGCCTTCTCTCGTTTGTCATCTTCTCCCTTTGCATACGTCCTTCGCAGGTGTTCTCTTCTCCCATACGACTTGTGAATCATTCTGAAGCATCTGTTCTAGGCATCGCAAGTGGTCTCCTCCCACATACGACCTACGAATCCTTCTAGAACATCTATTCTAGGCATCGCAGCTTTTGTTCCAGGCATATCGACTCTTGCAGTTGTGTTTTCTCCAGACTTCGTAACCTTTGGGTGAGTGGTTCTAGCCCAACGCAACCTGCAGCTCTTACGAAAGTCCTTTTCAGCCACTTTCAACTCATCTGGATCAGTCGAGTTGATATGGGTAGCAGTCGAACCTCTGTTTTTGCCTTCTCCCTGGTTTGATCAACTCTCTGTTCATTATATGGTTGTTTTGCATTGCTGAGTACTTTGATTTGCTTCATATTAGTGCAGAATACGTTTTGGGCTGCTTGATATTGCATATTATGCTTCTACTATTTTGCAACTATGTCTGATGATAAGTTCCACAATTCAATTAACATTAAGTTGGATGGGTCCAATATTGGTCGCATGTTATGAAGAATTTTGTAGTAGGCAAAGGCATGTGGGGCTATGTTGGTGGTGTTACAAGACGACCTGATGAAACTAAAGAAACAGAGAGTGCAGTTGCCCAATGGGATAAAGAGAATGCTCAGATTCTCACTTGGTTTCACAATGCCGTGGCATTCACCATTGGTCAGAATTTTTCTAAATATGATACATCGCAGAAAGTTTGGGATTATTTGAAGACTACGGATCTGGAATCCAATTTTGCCAAACAATATGACCTTAAGATGTCTATTCGCACTGCCACACAGAGTGATAAGTCAGTTCAAGAATTCTATAATATGATGACATCTTATTGGGATCAGTTGGCCCTCGTGGAACCTTTGAAGCTCTAGGCACTTGATAGCTATGTGAGATATCGGGAGAAACAACGGCTTGTCCAGTTTCTCATGGCTCTTCGAGATTAGTTCGAGCCTCTTCGGGAGGCTATTTTGCATCGCTCTCCTTTGCCTTCTGTTGATGGAGCTGTTCGCGAGCTTATTGCAGAAGAAACCCGGTTTAAGGTCTCACATGTTTCTTCCCCTTCTCAGTCTGTCTTTTCTGCACCTCTCTTGCCAACTCCTGCTGCTTCTAATTTGATTCAAGTTACTGGGAAACCTCAGCCTCGGGTTTCCATGGATAAATGTAGTTTTTGCTGTCAGAAAGGTCACTAGAAGCATGCTTGTCCTAAGCTTTTGCAGCCCAAAAGTTGTCACCCCCTTATGCCTCATCTCATCAGCAATCATCTCACCATGCTCCTCCCACTGCCCATGCTACTACCATGTCTGATCCTATGTAGTCTATGTTTGAGCAATTCAAGTCTTTCATGGTGGCCAATCCGAATTTCTCATCTCAGGCCTCTGCTATGACTACTACTAAGTCAGGTTTGCCTAATTCATCCTCCTCAGGTAGTGTACCCACTTCATGGATTTTTTATTCTGGTTGTTCACATCATATGACTCCTATTGCATCTCTTCTTAGTAATCGCGTGTCTCCCTTTTCTCCTATCAATATTGCCACAGCTAATGGTTCTTCTATGAGTGTTCAATCTATTGGTTTCATTTCCTCTCCTCATTTATCTATTTCTCATGTCTTTTATGTGCCTCATCTCTCTATCAGTCTTATCTCTATTAGTCAATTATTTGATTCCGGTTTTGATGTTGTTTTCTCTTCTTCTCATTGTGTCAGGCAGGATCGAGTATCCAGGAGACAGATTGGGATCGGGCGTAGAGTTGGTGGCCTACATATTTTGGAAAGCTTGCATGTTCCTCTGGCTGTGTCTTCTACTGCTTTATCTTCTTTTTGTTTAAACAATAAATCCTCGTTATTCTATATATGGCATTCTAGGTTAGGTCATTTGTCGAGTGATCGCTTGAAGTTGTTAGTTAAGTCTGGATATTTAGGCAATTTCCCTCTTTCTGATATTTCTGAGTGTAGTGGTTGTAAATTGGCTAAAATGTCTGCTCTTCCTTTTAATAAAAGTAATTCTATTTCTTCTTCACCTTTTCACTTGGTTCACACTGATGTCTAGGGCCCTTCCCCTATCATTACAAAAGGGGTTCCACATATTATATGTCTTTTATTGATGATTACAGCAAGTTTACATGGGTCTATTTGATGACATGCAAATCTGATTTTTACAAAATATATTCCAACTTTCACTCCATGATTCGCACTTAGTTTTCTACCACCATTAAAATTCTTCGTTCTGATTTGGGGGGTGAGCATTATTTGTCTGAATTTACTGAGTTTCTAGCTGCTAATGGTACTATTCATCAGTCCTCTTGCTCTGACACTGCTGTGCAAAACGGTTGTGCTGAACGCAAACATCGACATCTCCTTGATACAGCTCGCTCTCTGTTGCTTTCGTCTTCTGTCCCCTCTGTGTTTTGGGGAGAAGCTGTGCTCACTGCTGCATATCTTCTCAATCAGATGCCTACTTCTCTTCTCTCAGGTTCATCTCCGTAAGAGCATCTTCTTGGTACTATTCCCAATTACTCCCTTCTTCGTGTTTTTGGTTGTGCATGTTTTGTTCTCCTTCCCAAACGGGAAGGCACTAAGCTTAGTTCTCGTTGTGTCTTATGCGTGTTTTTAGGGTATGGCATTAATCAAAAAGGTTATCGGTGTTATGATCCTGCCACCAAAAAGTTATATGTGTCTAGATATGTCACCTTTTTAGAAAAACTACCCTATTACACTATCCCTTTCCCACCTGTCCCCATTGCCAGGAATGAATTGGTTCATATTGATCCATTTCCTTTTATTGTTCTTTCCGACACATTTGTTTATGATCTTGAGGTGTCTACTTTGTCTCCTACTAGTACTCCTGATCCCTCCCCCACTCCTATTGCCCCTGCTCCTCTTCTTGTTTACAAGCGTCGCAAAGCACTTCCGAGCCCACCTGCTGCTAGTTCTATCGCCCCTTCCATTGGCTCTATGGATCTCGCTCCTTCTACGCATCGCTTTCCCAAGCGAGCTCGACATCCTCCAAATAGACATGGTTTTGGTAATACCTGTTTCTCCTCTTTGTATCAATCTTTTCTTTCTTGTCTTCATACTTACTTTGAGCCCAGGTCCTACAAGGAAGCCTGTCATGATCCGAATTGGATTTCTGCTATGAATGATGAGTTAACTGCTTTGGCTAAGACTTAGACTTGGGATTTGGTTCCGTTACCTGCTAACAAGAATATTGTGGGATGTAAATGGGTTTACAATGTCAAAACTCTTTCTGATGGTTCTTTGAAATGGTACAAAACTCGTTTGGTTGCCCAGGGTTTTTCTCAGGAATATGGCATTGATTATGACGAGACTTTTGCCCCCGTTGCTAAGATGACTACTGTTCGTACTCTTATTTCTGTTGCTGCTGCACATCAATGGCCTTTGTTTCAGTTAGATGTTAAGAATGCTTTTCTTAATGGGCATCTTACTGAAGAAGTGTATATGCATTCTCCCCCTGGCCTCTCTCACCCTCCCGGTGTGGTTTGTCGTCTTCGTCGTGCTCGGTATGGTCTCAAGCAGTCTCCTCGTGCTTGGTATGAGCGTTTTCACTCTGTTGCTCTTCAGCTTGGATTTCGTCCTAGTCTTCATGATTGTGCTCTATTTGTTCATCATACTTCTGCGAGCCTTGTTTTCTTTCTTTTGTATGTGGATGATATGATCATCACTAGCTCTGATTCTAGCACTATTCGGGCGGTTAAGCATCAGTTGTTTCAGGAGTTTGAAATGAAGGATTTAGGGTCTCTTCGGTATTTTCCTAGTATTGAGGTTGCTACTTCTCCTACTGGGTATCTTTTGTCTCAGACTAAGTACGCCCATGATATCCTTTCTCGTGCCAATCTCACTGATGACAAAACGATCGACACTCCTATTAAGTTGCATGCCAAGTTTTCTCCATTTGATGGAGTTCCTCTTGAGGATCCTACTATGTATCGTGAGCTGGTTGGGTGTCTTGTTTATCTCACTGTTACTCGTCCTGACCTTTCTTATGTTGTGCATATACTCAGTCAGTTTGTTTCTACTCCTCGCTCCACTCATTGGGCTGCCTTGCTCCGTACCCTTCGCTACCTTTGTGGTACTTTGTTACAGTGTCTCTTGTTGTCTTCCTCTTCAGACTTGGTTCTTCGTGCCTATGTTGATGCTGATTGGGCTGGTGACATCTCCGATCGCAAATCTACTTCTGGCCTTTGTGTCTTTCTAGGTGATTCTCTTATCTCTTGGAAAAGTAAGAAACAGTCTGTTGTTACTCGCTCCACTGCTGAGGCCGAATACCGTGCCATGGCCCATGCTAGTTCCGAGATAGTTTGGCTTCGTTGGCTTCTTTCTGATATGGGTGTCTCTATCTCTTCCCCTACTCTGTTGTACTGTGATAATCAGAGTGCTGTACAGATTGCCCATAATTCCGTTTTTCATGAGCGTGCGAAGCATATTGAGATAGATTGTCACTTTGTTCGCCAGCATCTTCAGGCTGGCACTATTACTCTCCCTTTTGTTCCCTCCTCTCTTCAATTGGCCGATTTTTTTACGAAGACTCACACTGCTGCTCGTTCTCGTTTTCGTTTCTTGGCAAACTTTCGATGCTTTCTGCACTCGCATCCTCAGTTTGAGGGGGGGTGTGAATATGTATTTTTTATATTTCTGTTATTCTCTGTCTCTCTTAAGGGTAGTTTAGTCTTTCTCTTGTAATTAGGATATTAGGGTTTTGTTAGTTTAGTATATATATTGTATTCAGCCCTTCTGATTATTTATTCAATAAAGAGATTATTATGTTTGTTATCAGTACTATCAATAACTATTAATCGGTACTTCTCTTCTTTCCATGCCAGTTTATATACGTTTTTACTCCACTGTAAGCTTCTTATGTCCATTTCAGAAAAGCTTTTTGAGTTAAAATCCTGCTATAATGTAGAGTATGTTCAGTGCAATTCTTGAGCTGGATTAGATGATATGAACTTGCATTCCCATTCCTAAGACTAACTAGTTAGCATTATGGCTCCAAAAACTTAGATCATGCGAGCTTAAAGACTCAGTGAAACTGCAATATGTGATCTGTAAAAAATATATGTATTATTGATTGATATCTGATTGATTACAAGATTGATGTGTTACAAGATTTATAAATTACAATTCCTATACAATCTATATATAGAAGAAAATGTGGTAGTAGGTGTAGTGGAGGTGATAGTGGGTTAGGTGAAGTGGAGTGTGTGGTGAAGTGGAGGTAGGTGAAGTGGAGTGTGTAGTGGAGTAGGTGAAGGTAAATTCTAACATGATCACTAACATAAATTGACTAACATAAATTGAACCTGGACTTCCAATTCCTCATGCAGATAAACCAATCCTTGAGCTGCACTGAGCATAATTTCAAGCCTTGTTTTCCAAGGCAGAATTGCCGGAACCCTGTTGAAAAGATGATCTTCTAAGCTCTTATTGGGCATGTACTCATATACCAATAGACGTTGTATCCCTCTTTCTCCATCAACAGAACAGTATCCTAGGAGTTTTACAAGGTTAGGATGATCGACAACACCAAGAAATTGAACTTCAGCAAGCCATTGTTTATGGCCCTACACAAGCCCGCGCGCACAAAAAAAAAAAAAAAAATCAAACAGAGAAAACAGATCCCTCCTCCAAATTTTTATCCACACTCAGAAACAATCAATAATTTCCAAAAAAAAAAAAAAAAGAGGCGGAGAGAGATAGAGTTAGTAATCAAGTACGAGAGTAAATAATGATTTGTTTAATAAGAACCAATTTTTTTTCAGAACACAAATGCCAATCCTCATTATGAAAGAACATCAGACCATGAAATTGTTGATATTGAACAATGTATGTCTACATTTTACAGAAATATGAATGGGCTCAATATTTGATTTTGGTTGTCATCAACTTCTACTCAACTTCTTCCTTTTTGGTTCCACAAGAACTAATACTTGTCAGAGGATATTTGGGAGTGTATAGCTTCTTCTTTTATTCGTTTGACATCAAGTTCGGTTGTGAGTGATGGAGTGAGTTATCTAATTGGTTCCATGCTGGGCCAAAAAGTCTCACAAATAAGTGCAGCGTAATTGAGGATTGATTTTGCTAAGTAGCACTAATAAGCTTTCATTTACCCAGAAAGTTAAATTGCAATGTGTTTCGGACAGCCCATTCAAATGGCATAGTCCTCTGCATGTAGGACAATATAGTGGGCATTTCCCTATATAAGCCAAAATACTAAATCAATTCCCAAACTAAGCCTAGTTTTGAAAGAATTCCCAAAATAAGCTAACTCGTGGTTCACAATCACGATTTCAACATATAAACGCCTGTCTCGCGTGAAATTGGGGAAGTCTTAAAAACGTGGTTACAAAAAGCGTTTTTGATTAAGAAATCGCTGTTACAAAACGCGCTTTTAATTATTTTTTTTTTCGTTTGAACTCGCTGTTCCAAACTACGATTTTATCCAAAAAAAATTTTGTTCTAAATTCGTTGTTATAAACCACGCTTTTATGAAAAAAAAAATTTCTTCTGAACTCGCTGTTTCGAACCACACTTTTTGGCCAAAAATTTTTCTTCTGAACTCGTGGTTATGAACCACGCTTTTAGCCTAAATTTTTTTTCTTCTAAAAGCGCGGTTCTGAACCACGCCTTTTTAGCAAATTTTTTTTTTAGTTTCAATTTAACTGAACTCTGAAGAAGAAATTATTTATTTATTTTTTTTTTTTCTGTTGTCATTATTTTGGTGATAATGTATTTCAGAATAATTTTTTGGGTTAAAATTATTTTACTAAAACCGTTCTCATGTTAATTTTTTTTTCTTTTCTTTTGTCTTTATTTTGGGTTAGAATGTGTAATTCAATATTTTTTTTTGGCTTGACTAAAGTAAATTTATTTTATTTTTTCTTGTGTTTGTTTTGGGTTAGAAGATAATAATGTAATTCATAAATTTTTTGAGATTTAGTAAAGCCGTTTTGATGTAAATTTTTATTTTATTTTATTTTTTCTTTGTTTTGGGTTAGAAGGTGTTATTCAGCAATTTGTTTGGGCTTTAATAAAGTCGTTTTCATTTAAATATATAAACACAAATATATTCACAAATATAAACCCTAACCCTAATTTATTCGCATTAAAGTAGATAGAAGCCATACCAACGATAGAGAAACAGTACTGAAGCAGAGGGAGCTCGACAGAGAGAGAGCAGGGAGCACAGAGACAGAGAGAGAGGAGTAAGAGCGAGAGAGAGACAGCAGGGAGCGAAGAAGAGAGCAAAGAGGGAGAGAGGAAATGTAACAAGCGTGAATGCAAAACACGGGGCTGAGAGATTATATATAAGTTTTAAAATCGTGGTTGTGAACCACGATTCACTTAATGAAAAAAAAATTTGCCAAAAAACGTGGTTTAGAAAAGCGATTTCAGAACAAATTTTTTTTTTCATAAAAGCGTGATTTTGAACAGCAAATTCAGAACAAAAATTTTTTCGGATAAAATCGTGGTTTGTAATAGCGAGTTCAGAAGAAAAAAAAAAATTAAAAGCGCGTTTTGTAACCGCGATTTCTTAATTAAAAGCACTTTTTGTAACCACGATTTTAAGATTTTCCCAATTTCACACGAGACAGGCGTATATATGTTGAAATCGTGATTGTGAACCACGAGTTAGCTTATTTTGGGAATTATTTCAAAACTAGGCTTAGTTTGGGAATTGATTTACTATTTTGGCTTATTTAGGGAAATGCCCCCAATATAGCACTATCTCAAATAGTATGTACAACAAAATTAATTAGTTTCCAATGATATGTAAAGCCTCAAATGAGTACTCAATTTTCTGAAATGTGAAAGGGATAACCCATGGCCCAAAGAAAAAGGCACCTTCAATTGTCTCTTCAAAGTCAAAATTCAGCCTCCTTCAACAACCAAAGGTCTTATACTATCCTAATAATTAAAGATTAAACAGGACAATTGCAGCAAGTAATAAAACTTAATTCAATTATACACTAAAATAAGTGGAAATGTTATGTTTCAAGAAAAATTTGTCAAAGAAACTTGAGAGTGAGTAGTACCTGCAAGCCATGTTTGTTAAGCTTTTTAATGGCAACCACAATAGGGTCACCCTCCCCATTTGGAGGCCTAATTGTACCCTTATATACATTCCCAAATCCACCTTCTCCAATCTTTAGCAACTTGTTGAAATCATTAGTTGCAGTTCTGAGCTCTGAGAAAGAGAACACTCTCAAATTGTGTTCCTTCTCTTTGTACAATTCCGGTATGCTCCGCGGCGATGATACCGAACCTACCGACTGTATGGCCTTGTTTGCCGCCGAATTATCCGATTTACTACTCTGCTTTTTCAACTCCGGTGCTGATTTCTCTTGCTGGGACTCGGACTTCGCCTTGAAGGGAAAGAAACAACACTTCATTCTTTAAATAAAAAAAAAACTATTATATGTTACTCAAAACTCAGTAACACAACATAAAAAGGCTCAACCAAATCAACAGTGTCTGCAATTCAGAGAGAGAGAGAGAAGGAGAGGCAAAATTGGAAAAGAAACTCAGATGGAAGAATACCAGAGAAAGGCAGACAGGATAGGAAGAGAGAAAACCCAGAAGGAAAATGAAAGAAAACAATATTGTTTGACAGAAGCAGGTGGAAATATGAAGTGGAAGTGTGAATAAATCAAAAGAATCACGGAAAAAACCCAAAACCCAACTAGGGAATTGAAAGGAAAACAAAACCCAAATATTCAAAGAGTACTAAATGGGAATTTGAACATATTGAAAAGATAAGATTTTTAGCTTTAAATAAGGGAAAACCCAGATGAGAACAAGAAAGTAAAATGTGGGAATTATATGAGAGAGAGAGAGAGAGAGAGAGAGAGAGAGAGAGATGCGACGTGTATGAAACGAAATGGAAAGCGAAGAAGAAGATGACGACGACGACAATCTACAGAGGACTCTGAAATTTTCCAAAAAAGATGACGGTCTGAAACGCCTTTATTACGCTATGGTTTTGTTTGGTTGATCTTTTTCGCGCGTTTTAATGGGGTGTTGTTGGTTTTTGGGTACTGCTACCACTAGTGAATAGTAATGGGAACTGGGACAGCTGTGGTGTGGATTTCCAAGGTCGACGCGTGGTGGGAATGGGAGAAATTATTAGGTGTTGATAAACCACAGCTTGTATGTTGGTCCTGACCAATCAAGGTTGGCCACCGTCGATAAGCTATCCGATAGTGTTAGAGTATTGCTCCACCACACCACTCAAAATAACACATTTTTGTTGTTGTCATTTTAAATATAGCGTTTTCGGTTTTGATTCGACCCGTTTGATATTTTGAACTCGGATTTTATGGTTTTCAAATGTTGTTCGTTGTCGTTTCTTCCATATTCTTACTTGAATTTGGCTTTTGGTTTGTTATAGTTGTGTTTGGGACGGATTGATCTCTTGATTTTCAAACCTTATGTTATCCAGATTTTTGATTTTTCGCTCGAGCGACACTTTTTGCGCTCAAGCAGACTTTGCGAACTCTCAGTACTTTTGCAAGTCTACAAAACTACTAGAAGAGTGTTTTTTACGCTCGAGCGGGTGGGCACTTGAGCGGCCCTTATTACGCTCGAGCATTGGTCTGTTGTTTGTAAAACTACTAAGAGTGTGCATTGTGTACTCAAGCGTCATTTCTTGCTCTCAAGTAGAACAATTTAGTGTATCTGACGCTCGAGCATCACTTCTTACGCTCAAGCGGACTATGCATATATCAATCCGCAACAGCACCTTTTTACATCACTTTTTCACATCAATTCCTCTCAAAACCCTAGATCTAAGAGCCTCTCTCTCTAAAACTCACTCTCTCTACATTTTTATCTAGATTTAGTGGTTTCTATACTCTACTCCCTTTATTAAAAAGGTAGAGCATCTCAAGGGGTACAGTTTTATCCGAATAGAGTTGTGTTTGAACATCTTTGAAATTTTCTCCTTGCTTCCTCGATTTCTAATTTCGAGGTAGGGACTTTCTACGCTCTTCTATGGGTTTTAATTTAGCTATTTGTTGATGTGTGAGAAATATTAGAATTTGGAGTGATTTGAACAAACCTAGGATTTTGGTTTAAAATCAAAAGAGAAGTTTTGAATGGTTATATTGGAAATGGTTATGGGAGTGAATATAAGTTTGTGCTATATTTAGATAATTGATGTTGGTACTTAGGGTGGATGTTGGAAAAAGAGGAAGTTTGCCCTAAAATTATCTCAATTAATTATTTTGTATAAATAAATAAAATTAGCATCAGAAATATGAAATTAGATGGACGTTTATATAAATGGTGACATTAGGTATGTATTACCTCTCATCTATGGAAATTTGGATAATTTATTTGTCTTTGAGATTTTACATCTGTTTAGAAATATCTTCTTTGGGCTATCGGTAGAGAATAGTTTTGATTGTTGTAAAAATTGCATGAGGATTAGATGAATTGAAACTAATCTCTTATTGGTTGTCATTAAATATAACTATGTCTTAAATACATTGTATATGTATGATGTTTAGGAGGAGAAAATTGATGTACTCCACGTTTGGGAGAAGAAAGAGAATAGATTCCATTAAATTAAGTTGGCCTGTGTGTCTAGAGTGAAAGTCTCGAAAATCGCGCGTATACATGGTGCCAATTTTCGTCGACAAAATTTTCGTAAAATAGCAAATTGAAGTATTTGTATGATAGTTATGTTGATTTGAGATCCACTGAGCTATGTCCTTATTTTGGTTGTCTGAAATGAATGGAATTGACTCGTGGATTGCGGTAAAATAAATTGAGACAAAACGAATGAAGATAATATGAGTTGTGATATAACGTTTGGCATAATATGGTTTTATAAAAGAGTCATAAATGCTTTTATCATGGGCATTAGACATGCATCTCATACTTATATTTTTGTTAAGACTTATATACTGTGTTAAATTGTTTCTGCTGAGCTTTGGCTCATCCTACTTTGGAAAAATCATTTTCAGGTGCTGGTAGCAAGCCTCCGCTAAGACAGTAACTTGGAGAGACTTGGAGTAAGAGCTCATTTTTGTTGTATTTAATTTGTATAGCGAAGGGCTTTAACTGTACTGAGTTAGACTCATTTTGTTATAACCAAATAATGACTTGAAAAGATGTAAGTCATTAGGGCATTTAATATCTGTTCAACTCTCATCCTTTGATTATTAGTAACACATGTGTAGATTCAAGATACGACATTTATAAATATATATCGCATGTGTCACATTTTGTACATTAACTCTAATGAATGAAAGTATGTTGTTTCAATTCTATTTCCGCAAATGAAGTGGGTTTGTCATATTTATTTTGGGGCATTACATTAAAAGAGACACAAAAGTGGTAAGCTATATTGTTTTAACCAATTAACTTCAAGCACCATATAGATTTGCTATTGGAGCAAAATATAATTTCTTGTGATAAATGTGGTTCCAAATTGAGAAATTATCTAATGTTCTTAGAACAAGTTTATGCGATATTCTTAGTAATAGTTATTGGTGTAAATCATTAAACTCATCACATTTTTATTGATGGAAAAACATTTGGTAACTTGAATTTGTGTGATCCGAATAGCTCGAATGTCTCAAAACGACGTCGTTTTACACCTAAAACGTTCGGATCATGAAAATCCGGATTATCAAACATTGTTGATATTAAATGAAATGGAGCATTATTGTAAGATCATCAAAAAAAATTCCTCTCAAAACCCCACTTTGGTTGGATTACAAAAATAATAATTATATATAAACAAAGAAACTCATATAGAATGATATGACTCCATAGATACCTTTCACTTTAAATTAACATACTTATAAAAATAATTTATATTTATGACAATATTAATGCCACGTTATGCTTATGGTGTTTTTTTGGTATAAATTTGATGTATACATAAAAATCTTCTTACAAAAATGAGTATATTCTGTAATTGGTACAATGTGATATAATTCACGAAGAATTAATATAATACATAACAAAAATATTTTATATGCTCAACTATCATCTTTTGTGATAATTATTATGACCTATTATGATTACGAACGAGGAGATTTTTTTGGTTATGCTGATATATAAAGTTATGGTTATGCTGATATATAAGGTTAAATTATAAATATATATATTTACATATGAATAATGCTTGGGACCCCTTTTGGGGTCATCCCTCACCCCCCCTTTGCCACGTGGCGGGTGGTGATTGGAGGAGCAGGAAAAAAAAGAAAAAGAAAAAAAAAAGGTAACCAATAAGAGAGAGAGGGGGTCAAAGGGGTGGAGAAAAAAGGGGATGAATCATTGTTGTTTACATATATAAGTATATATTAATAATGTAGGTATCAATGATGAGCCATTAGAGATATCATCCACTATTGGTTGTCTCCGTATATAAATCCTAGCACATGCCTTCTTAAATTTGATTTTGTTATTTAATTCTATGTACACGACATTATTCTTAAAAAAATATAAAAGATTGTTGGTGTGTAATTTTATATTTATACTATTTTGACATGTTTGATTGGAAGGATTAAAGCATGGGATTAGGATTATTAATCCGTGGACCCAATCATCCTATGTTTGTTTTGACATTTTAGTTTAGGACTATTAATCCAATGGATAATTTTTGGTTTAGCTTATAGCTTATAGCTTATAACTTTGTGGAAGTCAGAAATCAGCTTATTCTTTGAGTGAGACAGAAGATGCTTTAAGAATAAGCTGGAAATCAGTTTAAGCTGAAAGTTATAAGTTATAAGCTGTTTAAGTATAAGTTATAAGCACTTTCCTACAGTTCTACCAAACAGGGCTATTATAATGTGAAATAGAAGTTGTGTAACATTTTTTTTTATTCTAAAATATCTCAAAATTTTGTCTTTTATCATCCAAATAATAATATCAACTTTGCCTATTATTCTCTCATTGCATTTGGCCTAGTTTGGGAAGACTAAATAAGTGCACTTTTTGACTTTTTTTGTATTATGTGTAGAAAAAGTAGAAAGGAGATGTTGATTGATGTAACCCAAAAAAGATAAAAAGATGAAATAAGTACACTTTTTTGGCAGTAGCCAAACTTTCAAATACATACGGCTCAACTAGACCAATCCAACCAAACCTAGTCCAAAATGCGGTTAACTTTGCAATCAAAAGTTTTTAGATAACTTTATTAAAAGCTGGTCAAATATGAAAAGCATCATTGCTTGTAATAAAGTTAACAAAGGATGGGGTTAGGAACACAATAGTCAAGTATTGCCAACTAAAACCAATTATAAACTTTCACTGTATTTGTTGGGAAAAGTTAGAAAAAGAATTATGCACTGTGCTTGGTTTGAGTTTTTTGTATTAAATTTTTTGAAAATTGAATTTTTTAATTTTCGTATTTTTTTTATTTTTAGTGAATATTTTTAAAATTTTAAACATTTTTTTTACTTTTTTTAGATGCACCTTACTTAGATGTGTCTAAAAAATAAAAAAATTGTGAAAAAAATATTTTAAAAAATTAAGAAATACATAAAAATATAAAAAATGTACTAAATTCTTGTATTTTTTTTATATTTTTGGTATTTACTGAATTTCTAAAAGATTTTTTTTACAATTTTTTTACTTTTTAGGTGTATTTATGTTAGGTGTGTCTAAAAAGTAAAAAATTTGCATAAAATATTAAAAAATTCAGTAAAAACAAAAAAACACGAAAAATAAGTGTAGAATTTTTTAAAAACTGTTTTTAAAAAATGGGAACCAAGCAAAGTGATTATATATTATGGATTTTTCTATCTTAAGAAAGAAAAAAATAAAAAAAATAAAATAAAAAAAAACCATTTTTGTGTACCATATCCAAAAACAACAATGTTAGGTATCATGAAAAACCTTTCATGAAAATAATCATGAAACCTTTGTGACCCTTGAATTACACTTAAAATAAAGTACCACACACTAATCAAGATAATCCAAAGATCATAAATCTTTCATGACCATTTTCATAATTTTTTTTTTATAAACCCTAACTTTTCTCATCCAAAAATCATTCGTAGTGCTCATTTGGGAAGAGTA